CGGGCTGGGGATTCGAACCTGCCACCTTAGGTGTATGTGGCTGGCGCCTTAGCCGCTTGAGCCACAGGCGCCGAGCTGAGGAAGGCGTATTTGTAAGAATGAAGAACATGGTTACATTTTGTCTGAGGAGGATGCAAAAGTTTATTCCCCTGAGGATATGAAGGCCATTTTTGGTGACCTGGGCAAGGTTTGTTCCTTTATACTTTTCCCTGTTAGCTCTCATCTTCACTTAGGAGTACTCTAGAAGACATTTACTGTGGAATTGTTGGCTTACTTATTACTGGAGTGAAAAATATCATCTTGGGTCAGCTTCTGCTTCCATCTGAAGGATAAGAAGTCAAGTACTATCTTGACTAGTAAGATAGTTGATGTTCACTGGGAAAGCTTGTTTCTTGGTTATGTCACAGTTCTGGGGATGTTAGTACGACCCCCAGTATGTGGGCATAGTCTTTATTTGGGACACCTCCCGTCTGAGCCTGTTGGCCTTGAATCATTAAGCACCTGTTGACTGTAGATCAAAGACCCTTTGTGTTCTCCTGTGCAATACCTTTGCCCTGGGATGTGGGATTAGCTCATAGTCTAAGACCCCACTTCCCCTGTAACTGTAGAAATGTCGCACTGTGTGCTGAATTTGCTCTGAGTAGACTCATAAGTAAAGATTAAAAAGAAAATACTTCTGTAACTTTAGGAGCCCTGTGGGCATACAATCTTAGATTGTACACACTTTGTAAGAGCCGCTCCTCAGTTCTTACTGCCCTCCCCCCATCGCTCTTGCATCATGCCTCTTTCTGCTGCAATACATTTTCTCTTTAAAACCCCATTGATAGGGCAGGCTGAGAACCTGCAGTACATGATTGCTACTTCCTCCTTTCACGGTACACACATCAGAAGTGGGTGTTGTGAGGGTGTGTGGGAGGGTGGTGGTAGGGAGGTGACGCTTGGTATCTTTTGTCATAATTTATTAAAATTGTAAAAATAGCTTATGCCTGTAGAAGAGACTATGAAGTATGTGTATACAAATAATCATACAGTGGATACCTATGAAAATGCTACCCAGATTAAGATAGAATATTGCCAGTACCTATATTTTAGAAGGTCTTTATTTTTTTTTGATAGAGTATTGCCAGTACCTATATTTTAGAAGGTCTTTATTTTTTTCTTTCCTTTTAATTTTTCATTCATAAATAGTGCTGGCACAGTGACACAGGCCTATAGTCCCAGCTACTGTGGAGACTGACGCAGAGAGATTGCTTGAGCCCAGGAGTTCAAGACCATCCCGGGCAACATAAAGGAGCCTCATCTCAAGAAAAAGAAAAAAAGAAATTTATAAATAGTAAAACGTACAATTTATATAAAGTTTGATGAATTTTTACATGTACCTAGATTCTTGTAACCGTCACAGGCAGGACGTAGAACAATGCTAATACCCCAAAGAGTTATGTCATGTTGCACCTTTGTGTTCAGACCTTCCCCTCATTCCTAACCCTGATCTGTTTTCTGTTTCTATATTTTGCCTTTTTCCAAATTGTCATGTAAGTTGCATCATACAGGATATAAATTTTTAAGATAGGTTTTTGACTTAGAATCATGTATTTGAGATTCATCCATCTACTGCCCTTTTAAACTCTTAAACTCTGCCTCCCCGGAACATGAAGGGCCCAGTTTTGTGTAATGTAAATTCATGTCTTGTGTTGGCAAGTTAGAGATCTGTCTAGACAACTTTCCTACTGCCTAGGTTTATAGAATTATCTAAGTGACTGGCATTTTTGAATAAGTACTGGAAAATTTTTATAGATCTCTTTTTTTTTTTTTTT